GCCTGGCTATTTTTTGGTTGCAGCCATCATTGTTGTTTGGCGGGACCAGGCTGGATTTGAACCCGCCACCTTAGGTGTATGTGGCTGGCACCCTGGCCACTTGAGCCACAGCTGCTGGGCCTGAACTTTTATTTTAAAATGAGGAATTCTGATCTTTTTTTTTTTTTTGAGACAGAGTCTCACTTTGTTGCCTCTGGTAGTGTGCTGTGGCTCACAGCAACCTCAAACTCTTGGGCTCAAGTGCTCCTCTTGTCTCAGCCTCTCAAGTAGCTAGGACTACAGGCACCCCCCACAACGCTCAGTTATTTATAGAGATGAGTTCTCTCTCTGGCTCGGGTGGCTGGTCTCATACTTGTGAGCTCAGGCAATCCACCTGCCTTGGGCTCCCGTAGTCCTAGGATTATAGGCGTGAGCCACTGTGCCCAGCCCTCAAAATTCTGATCTTAATGAAGGAAAAAAATTATCATTACAAATCTTTTATATATTTTTAAAAATTTTATTTTCTCATGTTGCATATAATGTCCAGTAGTGCTTTTGACATTTTTGTATTTATTTGATTTCAGTAGTTCCATTGCATGTGGAATAATTTCCCTAAGATTTAATGTAAGCATTTTGGTGTGAGATTGTGGGTTTTTTTTTTTTTTTTTTTTGAGAGAGAGCCTCAAGCTGTCCCCCTGGGTAGAATGCCGTGGCTTCACAGCTCACAGCAACCTCCCACTCCTGGGCCGAAGCGAGTCTCCTGCCTCAGCCTCTCAAGTAGCTCGGACTACAGGTGCCCGCCACAACGCCCGGCTATTTTTTGGTTGCAGCCGTCATTGTTGTTTGGCGGGCCTGGGCGGAATTCAAACCTGCCACCTTAGGTGTATGTGGCTGGCGCCTTAGCCACTTGAGCCACAAGTGCCGAGTGGAGATTGTTTAATGTATAATTCTTTTCTGATTTCTGTTAGCAGTGAGTAAGCAAGAGTATTTTCCTTCTCTCTTTTTAAAATGCCTACAATAGAGGCAAGAAAACAACACCCAGTTGTCTTTTTTTAAAAAAAAAATACTTTATTTGTCTAAATAAAAAGGAATTTTTTTATAATTGCAGGAAAATTGAAAGAATCAGTTGAGTAAGTACAAAAGAAAAAAATCCCATAATTTTGCTACCTGGACATAATCGTTTTTTTTT